GCTGTAGGTGCATGTTTATTTCATGTTTTTTATGACAAAAATATTTAAAAACATGTCTATACAAATGATAAAAGTATTAGAATTACAACCGCTAAAAAAATTTAATTTTTATATCGCCATATTTTTATTTAAAACGTATTCTTTTGTCTCGCTTCGTCCGCCATTACTAGCTTAAAAAAAATCTCCGGTCGGGCCGCAAAGCATTATGGGATATGTTGGGTCGGGAAGGATCCATCGGACCTGTCCTTCAAATCGAGGAAAAGGAAGGACGTATTTGTCGGCCGCATCGGAGGAGTCTTCGGTTTTGGATGGCCTTCGTCGCGGCGCTGTGACGAATGCAGCCGACAAATTCGGCCTTCGGAGGACCCGGCCTGCCGTTTTGGACACAGCCTACTTCTACTTCTACTTCCTGTTATCTTCTTTTTCGCCAGTAGAAACAGCCGGTTGTTGATCACGTGACTTCCATGATGCGAAAAAAGTGTTTCCATTGCAGTTTTGCGAAAAACACCAATTTCGATACGGCTGAAAAACCACCTAGTGCAAAAATATTTTGTCGAAAAACATAATTTTTTTTTCGAAATTGACGTGTTTCCATTGAGCAAATTTATTTTCGAAATTATAATTTGCGCATTTTCATGGTCAATGGAAACGCAGCTACTGTTACAATAGACCACTCTGGAAGCTGTAGGAGGGCAGAGTGTGAAGAGTCTCTTTGGATTTAAAGAGACAGCCTCAAAATGAGCTGATGAGACACCCTTCAGAAAAGGGGTGAAAGAGGGGCTTGTGGAGTTACAATAAGGAGGAATTCAGACCAAAGCATTGCAGTTCCACTTTATACAGACCCCAACTGAAATATTTAAATATGGGAAAAAGAAGAATTTAAAAGCATGATATATGTACTTTAAGCTGCTTTGAGTTGGCTTTGCAAACATTTCATGTAAAACTTCATCACAAAATCCTGGTGTCCTAAATGACCATAAATCTGAGGGGGGTTGGGGGGTGGGTGGGTGAGTCTTTACGTCAAGTAGAGGAGCTCTAGTAGTTATGAGCTTTGTTCATGAGTGATGGTTGATGTAATGAGGTGTCGTCCTCAGTAATGAAGGTGTGGGTCCAGTCTGACGTGGTGAAGAAGGGGCATCTGGCTAAAATGCCTCCATGATGTCTTTCTTTGGACATTTTTCCAGGGGCGTCCCACTGAGAGGAAACCCCAGGGGCAGACCCAGATTATGCTGCAGGGATTATGTGTCCTGATTGTAGAGGGATGTCTGGGTTTCTCTCCTAAACCAGTTGCCACTGTGACCTGAGTACTAATGGGCAAACTGTTAGTTTTTGTTAGTCGTGTGCTCAGAGGCCAGGGAAATTATTATTTATTAGCAATACATGCTCAATCAGATTTAAAGAGTAACTTACCCCAAAATTAACCTTTTTTAGCTGATAAACTGTCTAGAATGTGTCTAAAATGTTATATAGTACTGTTTCTGTGCTAATNGATAAAACAGATGTTTTACATGGTGAAATGTGACTGATGAAAACTTAGGAGCTTAATCCCACACCAGTTTGACCATGAAAAACGTCGAGTGACGAGTCTGACTTTTTTTTTATTCCACATTGGACTCCACTGAGAAGAAATCCCGTGCATACTGCTGCTTAAATGTTCACTACGTCAGGACTTATTCGACAAATGTGTTTCCATCTCTGCGTTCRCAGATTAACTCTTACAGGATGGGGGAAATTGGTCTTGGCGGAGGTTTGCACTCTCCGAGTGCTTCTAGTTTAAATATGTCAACAAGGGATGACTTGTCCATCCGGCCTTACATATTGGATTGGTAAGTCCAATATGTCTGTTCCATCACAAATAATTTGATGTAACAGTTCAGAAAACAAACAGAATATAAAGATATTGAGGCTGCACCATGAGGGACTATATTAAACTTGTCTGCACTCATAGAGACTCCACATACTCAACAAAATATATTCAATGGCTAAAAAAGAGGATTTTGTTTATGTCTCCTGTAAATTACTGCTTTTTACCAACATACCCCCCCTCAAATAAAACTACTGTTTCTGTACCTAAACCAAAGTGGGCGACMGGCTCCATCTCACACAGATACCCGGAGCCTCCATCAATGATGCGCATGAAAGCTCCACTCTGACCGGTGAACACTGTCACTTTGGCACCACGGGCAAAAGCACCAAACTTGGTTCGGGGAATGACTCGCAGCCAGTTGTTGGATGAGCCCTGAGGTGAAGAATGAGAAGGGATCAGTTCGAGGCTGAGCCATCAGGAGCCGTCATGAACCGACACTCACCTGTGTGACCTTGAAGACCGAGATCGGCTGCTGAGCGCTCTCTCCRTGTGCCAGCAGCAGGTCCAGGTGTCCGTCCCCGTCCAAGTCGGTCACAGTTCCACCTGTTTGTAGTGTTAGCAAAATAACCCATGAAGATTTCACTGACATGTTCAGGAAGTGATCAATAGGTGAACATTTGTAACGGATTAAATTTGGAGTTATCAAAAGAAGGCAGCCACAATCAACTGATCTAAAAAAAGAAAACACTCAACTAAAACTAATGTTGGGCGGCTGTAGCAGAGTGGTTAGGAGAGTCGTCCTGGAACAGGAAGGTCACCGGTTCAATCCCCCATCCAGCTGTCTCAGTTGTGTCCATGGGCAAGACACTTCATCCCTAATGCCTCTGATGTGTGTCCCATCAGTGTATGAATGTGATTGGCACTGATTAGTCTCCATAGATGATTGTACATGTTAGCTTTGTAGAGACTTAATAGAGTGCCGAGTGAATGAGGACACAGATTGTAGTGAAGCACTTTGAGTGTCCTGGATGGATAGAAAGGCAAGTAGTCCATTTACCATATGACATATTTTGAGTTAGTATTTGTTGGTAGTAGTTGTTCCTCAGCACATAGTCTGCATGCTAATAAAGTGCATGAGCRCTCACTGTTCTGAGTTAGAGTGAAGATAATGGTTTATTTCTAAGGTTTGAGCAAACTGTGATACTCAGGGTTCTATGAAGTACCACAGAGTTATACTTGAGTAAAAGTACAAGTATCTTACCAAAAAATTACTTTGGTAAAAGTTAAAGTCTCCTTTAGGAATAATGGGCCTGATGCAAGAACATGTTCATATTCTTATCCTAAATTTCTCTTACTTTTGTTCRTWTGAAGGGTTCGTACGAACATGTCACGTCAGATTCAACAAACTCTTCTATCTTCAGGGAAAGTGTGTAAATGAGCTGCGTAAACTGATGAATGAGTATCAGGTGCTCGTGCACGAGGAGAGGTGATTTACATAATTACCATCTTAAAAACACCATATAAGGGTATGTTTCCTGCCACACATACAGGAAATGTCCATACATAAATGACATTACAAAGAAAAAAAAGAAGAACTATACGAGTTCGGAGATTGAAGTCTCGCTTTCAGAGATCCAGAAGAAAAAAAAATCTGTCATTTTTAGCAGCGTCAGCTGTGGAATTAAAGGATATGCTTTAAAACAGAGGAATGAAATAATGACTGCTGTTAATGTCGTGTCTCCTGTGGGTCGTTTACAGTCACAAAAATAAAAATCTAGATCATATATATCTCTCTCTGTAGTCCTGCTCCAGTTTTTCATTGGTCAAATACAGCGGGTAAAATAAGTATTGAACACGCCACCATTTTTCTCAGTAAATATATTAC